GTTGAAATCCACGAGTCATAAAAGAGCCAAGGTGGCCTATCCCTGCTCTAGATTATGGCTGGGATTCCCTTCCAGGACCAATGGTTTTAGACCTTATTGACTATTACTAATCTGCGAACTTTTCATGACAGCCAACCTTTTAGGCAAACAGTGAAAAAAAATATCCCAGAGGTGCTTTTTCAAGAGGCAGCTGGACTTCCTTTGTTTTTTTCTTGAAGAAATTTGGCTTCTCCTCCAAGAAGCTTCTTCAGAACTTCGTCACTTATTTTGCAGGGGAATTCCCTGCAGAAGGCCGTTCTGTTTGGCCACCGAAGAACACGGTAGCTGGACACCCTGAAGCTAATACTAGCCACAGAACAAGTCAAAGAAGCAGTACAAGATTGGAAGATGTGGAGAGACCAGCCCATAGAATTGCCTCCTCTTCCTCCTCCTTCTCCCTTCTTATCCTTCTCTTTCTCTTTCTCTTTCTCTCTCCTCCTCCTTCCCCTCCTCCTCCTCGTCCTCCCTTTTCCCTTCTCCCTTCTCTCTTCTCATCCTTCTTTCTTCTCCTTCTCTTTCTCCTCCTTCTCTTTCTCCTCCTCTTCCCCCCTCCTCCTCCTTTTCCTTTTCCTCCTCCTCCTTCTCATTCTTCTCTTTTTCCTCTTCCTCTTTCTCCTTCTCCCTTCTTATCCTCCTCTTTTTCCTCTTCCTCTTTTTCCTACTTCTCCTTCTCCTCCTCCTTCTCCTTTTCCTTCTCCTCCTCCTTCTCCTCCTTCTCCCTTCTTATCCTTCTCTTTCTTCCTCTTCCTCTTCCTCCTCCTCCTCCTTCTCCTCCTCCTTCTCTTCCTTCTCCCTTCTTATCATTCTCTTTTTCCTCTTCTTCTCCTCCTCCTCCTCCTCCTCCTCCCCCTCCTTCTCTTCCTCCTCCCTTCTTATCCTTCTCTTTCTCTTTCTCCTCCTCCTCCTTCATCTTCATCTTCTTCCTCCTCCTCCTCTGTCACAACAGTTCTTCCTTTGTGACTCTTATCTTTCTAGAAATTGTGAGTTCTCCATGTCGTCCTGCCTCCAGTCCTACCATTGTCCAATCCAGTTCAGTCAATCCCATAACAGCTTTCCTTCACTCAAGACTTGTTATCTCACCAGGCTTCAGAAGATCTGAAATGACTCTCAGGAAATGCCCCTTGGCAGCGCTTGCGAAGGTGACGAGATGCTTCTGGAAGTAAGGGGGGGGGGACCTCATTTTTTTTCTTTTTTCAGTGGAGGTGGCCAAGGGATCTGTTCGTAATCTTTGATAAGGCTGCTGAAGTTTCTCCTCTCCAAAGAGATGTTGTCCAAGCCACCATTACAAAGAAAAATAGAGACTACATGGTTTTTATAGTTATTTTCCCTTCTCCCACCTCTGCTCGATTCTGCAGCAAGCATCCAGAAGATCAAGGCACAGATGGAGAAAAATAAAATAAAATAAAGCAACACAGAAACAGAAGATGAAGGCATTCTGATGGTAGCACACATAAAAAAAGAACAAAGCTGTCCCAGCAGAACGAGATGGAATATGTTCAAATGACCACAGGCCAGGCAGCTGTAGGAGTTGTTGATTGTGATTCTCTCTTGCCTACCAGAGTGGGAATTGCGGGCAGCTTCAGATGGAATAAAGAAGTACTGACAAACGAGTGCCTGGTGTTCCTGCTTTGTGCACAGCCATTGTGATGTCAGAACAGGTGTGCGTGCCTAAGCTAGCTCACAAGGCTGGGGACTTTGCTTCTGCACAGGCAGCGAGAACGGTGGTGGAACCATTCAGGATGTTGCTCCTGGAATTCCAAACTAGTCAGGTCAAAATGTGTGGGTTCTAGCTGGCTCCTTTTAATTCCTCCTTTTTTCCCTGCCCCCTCCCCAAAAAAGCAGGAGTAATTGTGTAGCCGAATGTACAGTATGCGAAGAGCGCCTCTGGATTTAGAATAATTTGCAGTATTGATAGAATCTCTGGTTGCTTGCCTTTATTATAAACCTTACAATCAGCTGGTTTCTGGTCTCCCGCTTTATATAAACGTTGTTAGGATAACAGAGTTGGAAGGGACCTTAGGGATAATAATAATAATAATAATAATAATAGTAATAATAGTAATAATAATAATAGTAATAAGCTCCTTGGGTGCAATCCCAAAACAACTGGAGCACCACTTGAACACCATTGGCATTGACAAATTCGCTATTAGTCAATTGCAAAAGGCGGCCTTACTAGGAACTGCTTCCATCCTGCGACGATATCTGTAATACCATCAAACATCCACATCGGCCTATCCCAGGTCCTGGGTAAGGACTCGATAGGTAGACAAAATGCCAAATCCAGTCTGAACATCTGGCTGACTGTGCGATGATCCATAATAATAATAATGTTGGAAGGGACCTTGGAGGTCATCTAATCCAACCCCTGCTCAGGTAGGAAACCCTATACCATTTCAGACAAATGGCTGTCCAGTCTCTTCTTAAAAACTTCCAGTGTTGGAGCATCCACCACTTCTGGAGGCAGGTTGTTCCACTGGTTAATTGTTGTAACTGTCAGTAAGTTTCTCCTTAGTTCCAGGTTGCTTCTCTCCTTGATGAGTTTCCATCTGTTGCTTCTTGTCCTACCTTCAGGAGCCTTGGAGAATAGCTTGACTCCCTCTTCTTTGGGGCAACCCCTGAGATGTAGGAACACTGCTATCATGTCACCTCTCGTCCTTCTCTTCATTAAAATAGACCTACCCAATTCCAGCAACCGTTCGTCAGGTGTTTTATCCTCTAGGCTCCTAATCATCTTTGTTGCTCTTCTCTGCACTCTTTCTAGAGTCTCAACATCTCTTTTATATCGTGGTAAGGCATGAGACTATTCTAGATGCTAGCCCAACTCTCTTCGTCTTCATGCACTACATATATGTAGAAGACAAAGGTGAACACACCTTTCATGAGGAGATAGAGAGGAAGGAGATTGTTATCTCTGCATTTCCCTCAGCGAGGCTCGGAAGGAAATAATCGCCTCACAGGGAGTCCAAAAAACAACAACAACAACAACAACGTAGTCACATTCTTTCTTTACTCTATTTCTCTCTAAGGAGCCCAGAGCAGTTTCCAAGACAGCAATCAAAACAATCTTAAATAAAGCCATCACAATAAAACCAACGGTCCCTAAAATAAATGCTTTGCCAAAATTAAACCAACTTAAGTTTTTTTTTTTTAAAGGCAATAGAACGGGCCATTGAAAAGACAGCTCCTTGTGTTGCTGATCCTCACCAATTTCAAATATTCTCAAGCGACATTTAGAAAGATGTGGGAAAAGGCTAAGCCTGACCAAAGCCAGGGGGTTCTTTGCTTCGGTCTTCTTCCTTTTACAAAGCCGATCCCTTGTCCTTTAAAAAAAAAAATCATACAATTATTTGGTTAACACAGTGTCTTTCAAGAACTCATTTCATCAAGCAGCTCAGGTATTCAGACATAAGAGGAAGTTTGGCCTCTTTCTCTCACTCACTCACTCACTCACTCACTCACTCACTCACTCACTCTCTCTCTCTCTGTCTCTCTCCCTCTCTCTCTCTCTCTCTCTGTCTCTCTCTCTCTCTCTCTCTTTTCTCAATTTCAAAGATCGCTAAAATGAGTGATTGGCATTTTGCAACAGGCTGCTCATTTTCCATCCCTGGCACTTCCTTCACAGGACGCCAACCAGTCCCACCAAGCTGACTGAGTAGATTACCTCAGCTATAAATCTAAAGGGATTGTCTGTTTTGTCTCTAGATAGCAATCTTCAAAATTCCCTACTTGCCGCCTTATAGGTGTTAGCCAAGATCTCAAATTCCACGTTCTCTCTGTAACTTGTAGTTGGGGGAAATCACTACAGGGGTTGGTGGAGAAAGCAAAAGAGAAGGAAGTTGAAAGAACATCTCAATAAACTCATTCCCTTGACCAATTCTGCACGGGTAGTCCTCAGCTTACAACAGTTCATTTGGTGACCATTCAAAATTACAACAGCACTGGAAAAAAAATATCTTATGACTGCTTTTCACACTTAAGAAGATTGCAGCATCCCCGTGGTCATGTCAGAAGAAAAATCGGGTTCAGTTCCAAGCTGGGAATAAAATGGAGGCTGATTTTGAAAGAAGGTCTGTTTATTGATGAGCAGAACCAGCAACAGCATGCAGTTCTGGGACAGCTGACAAATTGATTTGATGAATACAAGGCTTTTTAAACAGTTTTACACCATTTCATAATGTGAAGGTTTAATAATAATAATAATAATAATAATAATAATAATAATAATAATAATAATAAAGTTGGAAGGGACCTTGGAGTTCATCTAGTCCAACCCCCTGCTCAGGCAGGAAACCCTATACCATTTCAGACAAATGGCTGTCCAGTCTCTTCTTAAAAACTTCCAGTGTTGGAGCATTCACCACTTCTGGAGACAGGTTGTTCCACTGGTTAATTATTCTCACTGTCAGGAAATTTCTCCTTAGTTCTAGGTTGCTTCTCTTCTTGATCAGTTTCCATCTGTTGCTTCTTGTCCTGCCTTCAGATGCTTTGGAGAATAGCTTGACTCCCTCTTCTTTGGGGCAGCCCCTGAGATACTGGAAGGCTGCTATTATGTCCCCCCTCATCCTTTTCTTCATTAGACTGGACCTACCCAATTCCTGCAACCGTTCCTTATATGTTTTAGCCTCCAGGCCTCTAATCATCTTTGTTGTTTTGTGCGCTTTTGTTATTAGATTCATTTAGCTTGTTTCGCAAAGGCTAGCAATGGGTCTAAAATACTGACTTCCTTGGGTTTCAATCCTGTCAAACAAATCTAATTAATTTTATCCTTTTATCTTTAGTCTGTCTCTCACCTTCTTTGAGCCCTCTTTGTGAATCCACAGGCCTGATTCAATTTCCACTTTTCACAATAGCCAGGGGTTTTATGGGTGAAATATTGTTTTTGTACTTCTTCTGAGTTTTATTCTTGTGATTGGGGGGGGTATAGTAAAAAAGGATTGGGGGGGTGCCTTCTTACCATAATCACATGAACAGAATTCATCCGCTTGGCAACTGACTCATACTTATGACGGTTGCAGTGTCTCGGGGTCACCTGATTCCCCTTTGGTGACCTTCAGGCAAGTAGTGAGTCACTAAACAACGGTGGAAAGAACAGTTGTAAAATGGGGCAAAGTTCACGCAACAAATGTCTCACTTAGCAAAAGAAATGTTGGGTTTAATTGCAGTTGTAATATTTGGGTCAACACCGGAAGACAGTGTAGTTGGAAAGCCACCCACGTTCAGCTTAAGCCCCGTCCCGCACTGTAGAGTTTTAATACAAATGAGAGAAACGGAAATATCCAGAAGGTGAAATTTTGAAACATTGTGTAATTCCTGACTATCATTTCACAAGTAGGTCAGGCTGTGTTCTAGATGACACCACAGAAATTTGCTTAGGAGGATTCAAGCGTAAGATTATAATGAAGGAAGATTGGCCTTGCCCGGTCTCTTATTCCCCCCCCACCCCCCCAAAAAACATTAATTAGATGTTTTGACAAATCTGACAATAAAGCATCGTATCCATATTTCTTTCCCAGAAGTGTGTATGGGTAAACACTTGGTTGTAGCCCACACGTCCTTAGCAGCACAATGAAAGCTAATTCATAGTTTTTTAAAGCAGATTGTCATTGGAACTAATTAAAGAGTGCTTATTTTATCAAAGGCATACATCACTGCTCTATATTGATTGTCACTGTGTTGATACAATATTGCAAGATACACATGCTAGCACACCCACATATGACTTTATTAAAAAAACAACTTTAAAGGAGAGAGTCCTTCTCTTTATAGATTAAAGTACGGGCTGTTATTTGCTTATAAATTCACATTTCTTAAACCACCTAATTTCTTGACCCATTTTGGAATCTTGATGAACATGATGGACCTTCAAGTATTGGAATCAAGCATTAAAAGCAGCACCACCAAATATTTTGATGTGAAATTGGTATCTTTTGGGGGACTCCCCTAGAGAGGATTGTTTCTCATTGTATAAATCTGCCAAGCTTGTAACATTAAGATCTGAACCGGATGGCAAGGAAGAAAACCGAGAAATTGGATCAAAGCTACAACTGTTGTCAGTGAGGGTACGTAGAGATAATATGGGAATAGGATTTAACTTCCCAAAAGGTGCATTTTCATGAGGCAACTGGACTTCCTTTGTTTTTCTTTGAAGACATTTCGCTTCTCATCCACGAAGCTTCTTCAGCTTTGACTGGATGGTGGGAAATGAAAGGATTTGTACTCCTTGCAAACAGCTGGTCATTTGCATTCTTTTAGAGAGTCGTTGAGGCCATTTGGAGGTTTACCTGTGTCCTCAGGGTCACCTGAGTGGTGCAAATGGGTGTGGAGCCTTCTTGGAACCTCTGAAAGGACTGTGTTGTAGACTGGAGATAAATGATGTCGTATCCTTCCCCCTCTGTTGAGGGAAGGCTGTTCAGTTTTGACACCGATGGCCTCTTTGACCCCTCTTTCAAACCAGTGATTCTCTCTGTCCAAAATGTGGGATGTCAATGCTGCTAACATCCGATGTTCTTGCTTTGACAACAGATGGAGATGCAGCCATTTCCCTTTTTGTTTTACTCTTAAAATTAGAGTTAGAATTAGATGATACTAGGGGGGGGGGAGGAAGAGGAATGTGCATGGGAGTTTAGTGAGACACAACAATATTATAACTAGGGTGAGAACCAAGGATTTTTTGAAATAGATGATAAGAAATGGCGGATTGAAGAACTGGAGGGAAAGCCTACATTTCAAACGAATTGGAGAATGTGATTTATGACAGTTAATTAGAGGAGGGAATTGTGCTTTGATATTATGTGCCCAGGGGAGAGGAATTCAGATTTTGGCTTTGCCTATATATGTGGCGATGCTATGCTACTCGAATAAAGATTCTTTAAGGCAAACATGCCTTGAAATTCTTTGAAGAATTTCATCTGTTGGAACCATGACATGGACTTTGCTGTCTTTTTAAAAATGCAGATGGACCGTTGAATCTTATCCTGATGGGTTTGTTCTCCTGTGTAGTGCCCTGCATTTATGAAGTGCCTTGTCCAGTTGCCTCGTGAAAAAGCACCTTTGGGATAACTATAACCAGGATGACTCAGAAACTCCATAGACCAGACATGTCAAACACAAGGTCCGGGGGGCTGGATGCGGCCCGCGAAGTGGTTTCATGTGGCCAGGGAAGCCATCCTGGAAACAGTGAGGGAATGGCCCCCTCTGCCTTGGCCCTAGCCCAGCCCGGCCGGGAGTCAATGTACAATTTTTTGGTGGCCATCTATGCTGAAACGCATTCAGTCTTAGTTCCATAAGCCCCCCCCCCTCATGGCCTGAGAGGAACATTGAGGCTCTTCCAGTGGACCATGCCTTGGCACTTGCCCCGGTCCCACCCCCTTCTGCCAGAGACCCTCAGATCTATCCCACTCCTGCCCAGGCCCCCATAGGCACCCTTGATGCGAATGATGTAGAGCTGGCCACACCCACCCAGTAGGCCACACCCACCACCCATGCCCACCCAGTAGGCCACACCCACCCTAGCCACACCCACCCAGCCCCCTGAGGGCAACCACAATGCTGATGCGGCCCTCAATTAAATTGAGTTTGACACCCCTGCCATAGACATTTAGGGTTTAACTTGTTTATTTTCCTCAAGCCCCTACTTCTAATATGGCCATTGGAAGATTCTGGTTTCCTTTTTAAAAACTGTCCTAGATTATTCTTTTTTTGGAAATTAAAATAATTAAAATACAAACAAAAGAAAAAACAACAACAACAAAGCAAAATTAAACAGGATAAGGAGAAAAAATATATTGTGCGTAAAAAAGACCCCCCCCCAATATTGTGAATCTGAGTTGAATATTGATAAATATATTTCAACAATAATAGTTTCCTCCCTTAGAAAGCAGGGCTACAATTACAAACTTTTACATCTCTGTTTTTCCAATCAATTTAACCTACAATCTATCTATTGCAGGGGTAGGCCACCTTGGCTCTTTTATGACTCGTGGACTTCAACTCCCAGAATTCCTGAGCCAGCCACGCTGAAGAAAAAGGGAAAGGTTTCCAAGCTGACCCATGCTGGCTCAGGAATTCTGGGAATTGAAGTCCACGAGTCATAAAAGAGCCAAGGTTGCCTACCCCGATCTACTGTAAAAAACAAAGTTAACAGGTAAAACCCAACACCAAAGTTAAACTTCAAAGCTCTCTTATTGACAATCTGTTATTGTATTTAACTAGCCTAAAGTCCACAACTGCTTCTAATCTACCATAACCCACTGTAGTCATTATTTCTGATCCATCCAAGATCTGCCCTAGATTATTCTCGATAGGAATCCAATTTTGCCTCCAGTTTTGGCAGCCATGTTATAAAAAAAAGATGTCAAGACTCTAGAAAGAGGGCAGAGAAGAGCAACAAAGATGATCAGTTGGTGGAATTGTGGATGTCTAGTTTAATGAAGAGAAGGACTGGACTGACATGATAACAGTCTTACAATATCTGAGAGGCCACCACAAAGAATAGGGAGGTCAACCTATTTTTCAAAGCAGGACAAGAAGCAATGGATGGAAGCTAATCAAGGAGAGAAGCAACCTAGAACTAAGGAGAAATTTCCTGACCGTGAGAACAATTAATCGGTGGAACAATTTGCCTCCAGAAGTTATGGGTGCTCCATCACTGGAGATTTTCATGACAAGATTGGACAATCATTCATCTGAAATGGTACCGGGTCTTCTGCCTGAACAACGGATTGGACTGTCAGATCTGCTTACAACTCTGTTATTCAGAATGGAGCATAGTCAGTGCAGAGCAGTCTAGCTAAGAATATGTTCTGTTTTCCTATGGTCTTCCTTTGTCTCCTTAATGCTACAATTCTGGCAAAATTTGTGGGAAAGAAACTATAAATTGACAATGTACAAGGTCAGCTTGTACAAGGAAAACCTACATAAAATGTTTTATAGATGGCACTTGCCACCAGCAAGATTAGCAAAAAAAAATTTTAAAATATGTCAGATAGATGTTGGAAATGCATACACAAGTCAGGTACTTATGTTCATGTATAGTGGAGATGTGTTAAAGCAAAGAGGTATTGGACAAAGATACATACTTGGCTAGCAAAGATGTTGGAAAAACATGTAGATTTTAAACTTGAACTTTTTTTTATTAGGTATAATGCCAGAAAAGATTGATAAACAAAGTATATACTTGATTTTACATGTGATAATAGCAGCAAAAACCATATTCACACAACACTGGAAAAACGAAGAAATATCACCAGAGGAAGAAATAATTAAAAAAAATACTAGACTGTGCGGAAATGGACAGACTGACTTTGAGGTTGAAAGAAGAAGAAGAAATGGAATACATTTAAACTTGGGGACTTATTTTATCAATGGCTGGAGAAAAGAATAAAGGATTAGGAATTCAATTTGTATTGGTGAATTATAAACTCAGACAACACGTTGGTTGAATAAGTACTACTGAATTGTATGAAAAAAAATGATAAAAACTTTATTTAAAAAATGCTACCATTCTTTCCTGGGATCATCCAGCAAAAGGAAGACCGCCAAAGATGAAGAGAGGCTGATGGCTTTGAATCTGTATTTCTGTTCTCCCTCTTTTGAAAACAAAGAAAAGAAATAAATCTATTTTGGACTGTTTGTTTTTCATCTTCTTTTTTTAACTCTGAGCAGATGAGCTAGCAAAGTTGCTGCGCACTGCAGCAAAACCCTTTTGGTTCGGCAGATGCAATGGCAGATTTTGAGTGCAATCCAGTTTAGTTTCTTTTTTCTCTCCCCCCCCCACCATCTCCCAGAGTGCCTACACATTGCATTTCTTTCCAGGAGAAGTTAATTCAAGCCAGCTGCAAATCACTGGAAAGGGAACTCATTTTGGCAACATCGAGACACGGCTGCCTTTGGAGAACTATTTCGTTCCAAAACGCTACGGTAATAACAAAAAGGATACCTTGCTTGCTCAGATGTAGTAATTCCTGATTCCCTCTTAGAGCAGAAAGCCAATTAACAAATGGTTGCTGGAACATACAGGAAAGAAAAAAAAAAGGGGGGGGGGAAGGAGGAAGCCCTATAAAAGAGGAGG